CGCCCATTTTTGCCTCTATTTTCTCCCAGTATTCTGATCTGAACGGAATTAAGTTCTAGTAAACAACATTTTGCGCCTCAAGTCAACCCAATGATCTAAATAAACAACCTCAAGTGTGCGTTAAATCCTCCAATTCCCAACCTTTCATCAGATATGTAATCTACTGTACATATACATTGTCGTCTACATGCATTATGGAATTTTAGGAGCTGTATCTCGTTTCTCAGTGGCACGGAGGAATGTTTGATTTTCCTTAGAAATTGTACAGCTTGTAGAATGTAAACTCGAAAAGCACTTGCAACAGAATTGAACAGTAGATTTTAAAAATCGAAAGGCACACTTCTTTTAGGTAGAAAATTGGACGGAGTTGTGATTTGCTACGAAATTAATGCAAAGATCGTTTGTGCATATTTTTTGCAAAATATTTCAAATTTAATAGGGTACTTAATTCATTAGGAAAAGGGCTTCCTATGTAAGTAGTCATGTCGGTATGGACTGATCATTACTTACATCTGCTTACTTGTTTTGAAAAAGTAAGATTTTTTGGTTACTTTCCTTGGGCGGTTTTCGTTAGCATGCTATTATGCCATCCTATTCTCATACCTTATCTCATGTGAATGTAGTGTTATTTCACAGCAGTTGCTGAATAGATAGTTTTATTCTAAATCAGTTTATCTAGCGTTACTTTCAATTAGTTATGCCAAAACAGATACTCTAGTGGTAGCTCTACGGTAAAGAAACTAATCTAGGGACAACCTTATCCTAAAGTAATTAATCGACATCTCGGGTTAATGTGATTGGCTGCAACACCTCTCCGGTCTCTGGCCTTCCAAAACCTGCCACTGGTGGTACAGTCCACCACCCCTGGTTAATTGACCTTGACGATTTCAATTTCTTTAATTTCCTCACCTTACCTGAAGTTACTGATTTTCTTTTACTATTCACGTGTTACGGCGGTCTACTGGGCGTCGCACTTTATCACCTATAGAATCCTTATTAACACCATTGTCGTATTACACGCTACTCCATGGGGGTCGCACTATCAATCGTTTCCTTCGTTTTTTACCGAGAGCGGTTTTGCCAGTTGATCACAAAGCAAAGCATTCATAGCCGGTATCCCGCCATGTCTGAAATATTCTACCCGTTAGTAAATTTTACAAACCCACTTATGTACACCTTACTGCTCGAAAACACGTTTCAGAATTTGGGTCAACATTTCATAGTAAGGAGAATAATTTAATCATGAGTAAATTTGGTTTGTTCTAATGTTTTCCTTCTGTCGCTTTTTAGGGAACTAAAACCATCAGCCTTTTTGGCTGATTTGAGGAAGGAAAAAGTTCATGCAACGTTCCTCCTAAAACACGTCCCTCACATTATTCCCAGAAAAGAGGTAGGAAATTCCCTTTTCGTCTATTGGCTGACTAGTGCCTGCTACAACTTTTTCTCTCTCTCTCTCATTTATTCTATTTTGGTCGTTCATCGATGTTAAATATACGACTTCTTGGACTCAGCAAGGTTTTCAGCCTACCCTTATGATATGTTTCAAAAGCGGGCTTAGCTTTGCGGATTTATTAATTTCGGTTTTTAAACTTTCATCGCCTCAGACCGTTACCTATCAGTTTTTTTAGTCTCCGTAAGTAAATCTGACTAAGAAGATCGACCATATCTGCGACGTTAGGCTGGAATGCGGCCAGTCAATTTACACACCCTTATACATACCCTATTGTGGTTTCATCATTTTGCAAAGAAAGTTGCTCATATTATTTGAAGATTTATGGCCGATGTAAATTTAGTTTCATTAAGAAGGTTCAGTAATTCATTCACTTCATACATAGCTTTTGAGTTTGTAACACTTGGAATTTCCTTTTCGGGGCTTGGTACTGGCCCATAAGCTCTCGTCGTAGTCATTAAACCTCGTGAGAGCACAGTTTACCCTTTATAAGTAGTTTTGTTTTTAGTTACATATGTGCATACAAGTCATTGTATTTGTCGGCGTACGTTAATAGCGCTATATTGCTTTTACTGGTCTATTAGCGCGTTTATCTGACCTAGAATCCGGTATTTTCTCAATTGTCTACCAGGTGCCTAGATGTCATTTTAACATCGGATGATATTGCTTGAAGTCACTATTAATCTCCCTCGAATTTTTTTGAAATTGATTATCTCCGTGTTAGGATATTAAAATGTTACTGGTGACAAAGTAGATAGTGTGATGTTAAAATAGCTCACGTACCGTCCAGGTACCGTGTAGAATCTACCTCATAGTTCTGGTGACGGAAGCTTTTTTACTGTCACCAATGGAAGTTATATTAGTATCCAGCTCAGATCACTGCAGTGCCGACATCATGTCTCGAGAAAATTCGACCCCCGCTGTTTGGTTTTTATCCCCTGACTTTCAATGCCTGGATCGTCTTGTCAAAAGGAGTGATAGTCGACTACAGAAGGTTCCCCAAGTCAGAAGTCAGTAAGACCAAT